CGTGTTCCTCGAAGTTTTCGAAGGATTATGCCACACTCGCTGTTTTGAGAAATGTACAGTCCATATTGCGGCGATGTGAAGGTGTCACTGCGTCTTCATTGGAAGGGCTTAGGACGCATTTCATTTGGGACATTTCCGTCTGTGATAACTGCCATCCCGTCTGGCGCTGGGCAAAGACTTGACTACAGTTGTTCCAAATATCCCAGTAAACAGTAGGCCGCCTGCCTTTCTAGATGAAGCCACGCCCACCTCATCTACGTGATATGGTATCTATATGTTCTCCTGACCGCAATGTCGCTTCCACATCATTCATTCTTCTTCGTGATCGTGTCCTTTTCAGGAAGGCGAATGACCTCGCCGATTGCGAGGAGTGTTTGGGTTAATCTATACAAGCAGTTAGAGCGAGAAGCAGCAAAGGTTCCCTTTTCACAAATCCTTTCTCAACTTCATTCTATTAAACATTACTTTTTTTGCAATTTTTACTACCTACCAACTTAGAAACGTTTCAGTTCCCGCAGTACAACTATCGTGAATTCGCGAAACGTCGAATTCGTGAACACTTTGAGGCGAACCGTGGTGTAACCGATCCTGTACGTCAGGAACAGCTCCTCAAAGTAAGTTTATTTGTGTCGCACCTTTCTTCCTGAATGAAGGTTTTTCGCTGATGTTTGCGGAATGAAATGTAAGCGCTCTAACGAGCAACTTCGCTGAACAACAGAGGCTGGTGAGCAGTACACCTCGAAGTGAAATGGGAAATCACTAATACATTGAAATTTCCGCACCATTCCATCGGTGCAGTCTTCCCACCTAGCGGGGTCTTCCTATTAGCATCTTGAGAATCCACAGTGAGGGAGGATGCGCGAATCAGGCGAATCCTGTGTACTCCTTGTGGACGGTTTTGTCCAATCGCGGATTCTTCAGACCAGTACGTGCACTTTTGTTTACGCGTTTTCGTTCTTCTACAGCGAATGCCCTACAATTGCGAAACATGAACGTGGCTTGAACTAACCCGTTCCGGACCGTGGTCATGTGTGCCTCACATTCTTCTCTTTGTTACTTTTTGGACATGTATATATCTTATAAAAGAAAACTGATGTAATTACTGATCGATATAAGGGGAGGATAGATTTCGCATGTGATGTCAAAAACTCAAAATCTGTGGATCATGTGCTCAGATGGACATGTTTCTCTGGAACACGGGCAGTCTCTATGCTTACATGCTCAGCGCTAGACCTCTGTAGTCGAGCTCATCTGCACCTCTGAACTGCCTGCACGGCATCAGAGTTCAGAATAATAATTCAGAATGTTTCTTCAGCCTCCCGAGATTTGTACAGATACTTTATTGGACTAACGTTTCGGCGAACATCGCCTTCTTCGGAGCCTGCAAGTCGAAACCTAAGATC